TTTGTTGTTTTTAGATTTGCTTGTGTGAGAAGGCAAAATGTTTCCTTCTACGCCTCCATCTTGGTGGAAGTCCCGCCATTCTCTTCTTGCTTGTAGTGTTTCCATTGAGAAGTCGTAGCTAACCTTATTGGGGCTCCCGTGTATGTTACTTCCTTTTCCCCCTTGTTGCACTTAAGATTCTTTATCTTGGAATTCGGTCATTTTAATGATGATGTGTCTTGAACTGGGCCTCTTTGGGTTCCTCTTGATTGGGACTCTCTGTGTTTCTTGGATTTGTGTGACTTTTTCTCTCATCAAATTAGGGAAGTTTTTCCTTATTACTTTTTCAAATAGGTTTTCTATCATTTGTTCTTCTTTTTCTCCTTCTGGTATCCCTATTATTCGGATATTATTACATTTCTTATTGTCTTGCATTTCTCTTAATCCCTCTTCATTCTTTCTGAGCCTCTTTCCCTTTTCTTGCTCTTTCTGCGAGTTGATTTCTACTTTGTCCTCCAACTCACTGATCTGATCTTCTGATTCATTGATCCTTCCTTTGATTTTTTCTACTGTGTTCTTCAGTTCAGAAATTTTATTCTCCATTTCCTCTTGGCCTTTGCTAATAGGTTCTGTTTCCTTTTTCATGTTGATATAGTTTGCGGAGACGTCATTGTAGCTCCCCTGTAGTTTCTGGTAGCTCATTGTGAGCTCTTTGAACTTCCTGATAACCAGTGGTTTGAATTCAATATCTGATAGTTGACTTGCCTCTATTTCAGCTAACATTCTTTCTGAGGCTTCCTCCTCTTCTTTCATTAGGGGCTCATTTCTTTGTCTTCCCATTGTTTGTGAGACTCTTCTTGTTAGCCTCAGCTTCTTAAATTGATCTGTTTTGACTCTCTGGGTTTATGGTGTGAACTTCTGTGGTAGAATACCTGTGAAGTTCAGTGGTGAAGTCTCCTTCAGGTATCCTGATGTTCTCTACTTCCACCTAGTCCTTTTTTTTGTGTGTGTGATCAGTTGGAAGGGGAGGCAAAATGGTTTATGACAGCAGGAGAGTATTTTGTGATTTTACAGTCACAGCCGGTAGAAAAGTGATAGAAGATCTTTAGGCATAATCTTCAACCCAACTTGCCACTTTTAGGAAAGGATGGAACTGGAAAGCATTATGCTGAGTGAAGTAAGCCAGGTGTTGAGGGACAAATACCATATGATCTCACCTTTAACAGGAAGCTAAACAACAAAACAAACAAGCAAGCAAAATAAAAACAAAGACACTGAAATGGAGAACGGGGGGGATGGCGACCAGAGGGGGGAGAATTTCAGGGGAAAAAGGGGAGGGATTTAGAGGAGCTAGTATAAAGGACACATGGACAACAGCTAAGGGGGGTGGAAATGGGAGGGAGGTGGAAATGGGAGGGAGGTGGGGAGCATGAGGGGTGGGCTAGGAAGGGAGTAAAAGGCCGAAAACTGTACTTGAAAAATAATTAAATAAAAAATTAAAAAAAAAGAAAGGATGGACAATAGATAAGTCTCTTGTTGGGGAGGGAAGGCTTGTGAGTTGGATCTAAAAATAGTGAGGTTGCAGGCGGTAAGATTCTGAAATAAGGTGAGAGTAAAGGATAGTAAATAGGTGTAGTGTGCGAGCAAATAGAGTTAATCACTACAGTAGTAGAATTCAGGAACCTGTAAAGTGGGCTAAGATCTGGGAGGTGTGTTGTGAAGTATTTACAGTTGTATAGAACAGCTATTATTTACAGTAATATTAGAGCAACAATCATATGATGGACTCTATGTGACCTGGATAACATGAATAGGGGGTATAGAACTTTGGGTAGTGTGCTAAATGAAAACAAATGGCGTGAAGTATAGAAAATTAGCAGTACACTGTGGAGGAGAGAACAGGGGAAACCTGTCAAATGATACAATATAACCAATCAAGGCAAAGTAGCCTATACAGAAAGAGGAGGAATACAAAGATATTATTAAAATATAAAAGAAGTAAGAATAATGAAAATAATAATAATACAAATATGCAGTGACTTGTGGCTTCTCTGCTATAGCAAAGTGAAATTTTTCTCTCTGTCTCTACTCTTAGGATGCCCCCTCTTTGGGTCCAACTTTGGTCTTTTCGAGGTTCCAAGTTGTTTGTGTCCCTTGTGGGTAAAATAAAAGAAAACAAACAAACAATGAAAAGGCAGGAGAATGGAGGAAAAAGCTATAAGTTTGGAAAGAAAGGAAGAATGAATAAAACGGAATAAGAAAGGAGACGAAAAAACTATTGAAAGATAAAATAATAATAAAATTAAAAAGATACAAGATTACTAAAAAAAAAAACCACCAAAAAACCATCTCTTATTGATTTCAAACTGGCCAAACCAGTTTTTCTGGCTGCAGCAGGCTGAGGGTTGATTGGTATGGTCTTTCTGCAAGTGCTCTCCCAAGAGCTAGCCCGGCACCTCTCCCCAGTGCCCCACAAAGGCAATCTAGATTCTTTTCAGAGCACTTTCCCTAGGGGTCCTCTCTGTGGGCTGAGATATAGGCCTACACCAGCCAGGCTGCCTGGGTCCTGCGGGATCTGTCACAGACCTTCCCACTTCTTTGGGGGAACTCAAGGGCTTCTGCCCATCCTGTGGATCACTGCCAGGCTGGGTGGGGAGCAGGCCAAGCTGCTGTGGCAAGAGAATCCTTCAATTTTCTTCCCCCAAAAATTTCTCCAGAAAGCCTGCTTCTCAGCCCAGCCTAATCCCCCAGCCAGACCAGTGACTGCTGGAGTCAGAGCCCGACAATGAGCCTCTCAATTCTCCCGGGCTGGCGACCAGAGTCTATGGTTGAGCATGGCCTGTTGTCTTTATTACCCTCTCCGTAACTCAAGTAGACAGGTCTCTGCCTGGTGTTGCCCAACCTTGCTTAAGATGGGGAGGGAGCTGATGACCTGGCTCTCTCCCAAGTACCCTATAGCAGACCCGAGGCTCAAAAAGAGTCTGCCATAGACCTGTCGGGTGCTGGGGCTCCTGAAGAGTTCATGGCAGACACCCCCAGCACTGCTCACAGGCTAAGGCTGCTGGGCACTGGGCGCTGCTGCTCTTGTCTTTGCTCAGGTCCCCAAGACCCCACTGACCTGCAGCTATCTCCTTACTGCCTGGTCCTTTAGTGTCCATCACAATCTCTGGTCTCTTATTTTCATAAATGCTGGGGAACTGTTGGTTGTTTGCCCTGTTCCTTCATAGATCTGCCAGAATTTTCTCCCATGTGTACAGGAAATGGAATCTGCTCCGTCCTACTCCATCACCATCTTCCTTCCTCCATAAATTACTTTACTGTTGTTCAATTACAGTTGTCTGCATTTTCTCCCCACCACTCCCCCCACCTGCCAATAATACCTTTGATAAAGACTTAATATTCAAATTATTTAAAGAACTTAATATAACTTAACACACAAAAAACCCAACACAATTAAAGAACAGGTAGAGGTCCTAAATACTTCTCCAAAAAGGACATACAAATAACCAATAGACATGTGAAAAAATGCTCAAAATCACTAATCATTAGAGGAATGCAAGTTAAAATCAGAATGAGATATCACCTCTCACCTATCAGAATGGCTATCATCAATAAGTGAACTAACATTTAGTGAAGATGTGGAGACAAGGGAACCCTCTTGCACTGTTGGTGAGAATGCAGATTGGTGCAGACACGATGTAAAATAGTATGAAGTTTCCTCAAAAAAAAAAAAAAGAAAAATGAATTTGCCTTTGAACCAGCTATCCTACTTCTGGGTATATATTTGAAGAAATTCAAAACACTAATTCAAAAAGACATAGGTACCTCTATGTTCATTGCAGGGTTATTTACAATCACCAGGATATGGAAACAATCCAAGTGCCCATCAATAAAATGTGTGAATAAAGAAGATGTGGTGCAGATACACAATGCACTAGAATTTAGCCATAAAAAGGATTAAATTTTACCATTTGCAACAGCATGAATAAATCTAGAGGGTATTATGTTAAGTGAAATAGGTCAGAGAAAGACAAGTACCATGATTTCACTTATACATGGAATCTAAAAAGAACAAAATAAATGAACAAAATAAACAATCAAAATAGAAACAGACTCATAGATGCAGAGAATAAACAAATATCTCTGAGACTTTGCTTTTGGTTATTTTGGATATATACCTAGATGTGGAATTGTTAGATCATATGGTAATCCTATGTTTGAATTTTTGAGGAACCATTATACTGGTGGCTCCACCATTTTACATTCCCACCAACAGTACACAGGGGTTTCTGTGAAGCAGGACTACTTTGTGGTGGCTGCCACCCTGCCAGACATTATCTGCTGCTTTAAGTCCTCCAAGTTTGGCTGCCGGGACCCAGTGAGAACTTGTTTTGAGATATTCCCAGATAAGGTTTGTTTGTTCACTTGGGATTTGAACTCAGTGGGGAAGGACAGGATGTTCTCAGGCTTGGCTTTTTCCTTAAGGCCAGGGCGTGTGTGGACAACAGCATCCCCTCATCTTGGTTTCTTCATCATTGGTGGGTGGGACAGTCCCCCTTCTTTACCGACCAGGGCCACACTGTGCCTCACTAGGAGTCAAGGCACTAAGAACACTGTAAAAGTCTCCCGTGGGTAAAGCTGGACGTCTTTGGCAGGCTCTGTTTGGTGATTTTATTTTATTTTTTTCTGTTCAGTATTTTTATATAAATCCAACATATCTTAGGTGAGAGAGTCTTGGGAGGTGGGGGTTGGGAGTCCTGTACCTCCTGGACACCTGCAGTAGAGCAAACATGATGCAGAGTCAACCTGTGGGGTCCTCCTGGTCCCTCTCAGTGGCCCTTGGGCCCTGCTCCTTGGCTGGTTTCAAGCCAAGCCTAGCACCTACTTTGTCTTCTCCCTACTGTCAGCCCTGTAGAGTCCTTGGGGTGAGTGGCTGAGCACCTCAGGCCTACACATGCTGACTATGTAAACCCATTCCATGAATGAAAGGTAATTGAAGGTACCACTTTGTTTGACTTCAGGTTGCCATTCAGCTGAATGACACCCAGCCCTTGCCATTCCTGAGCTTGTGCAGATCCTGGTGGATGTGGATAAAGTGGACTGGGAAAAGGTTAGCATGAAGACAAGGGCATGGGACTACAGTGTCTCCTTCAGTCCTGAGTGTTGGGTGATGGCATCCCCCATAGAGCTGGGAATATGGAGTGATTGTGTCCCCTGCAGACCTGGGCACATACATAGGAGTGATGGTATTCCCTGCAGATGTGGGTATTGGGTGATGGCATCCCCCACAGAGCTGGGAATATATAATGATGATGTCCCCTGCAGTCCTGGGCCACAGACATAGTATTCCCTATGGAGGTGGGCTTGGGGTGACCGTATCCTCCTGACTTTGGGGTTTATCTCAGTAATAGTTATGAGTACTGAGCTAGTGCTACAAAACTGAGGGAGGCCTCTTCCCTGTGGCTTTGGCAAAATGGAGGGACATTTTCCCTGAGATGACGGGGACTGTGGGGAGAACAAAGATCCAGGAGGCTCTGGTGTTTCTTCCAAAAGACCAAAACACAGTGAGTGGGAACATGGGTACAGGGGCATAGAAGAATAGATTTTTTGGAAGCCAAGAAAAGGATTCTGACACTACTTAGGGCTTCTAATATATATTTCTCATCTTAGAAATCATGGCAAAAACTCCAGAAGTCTTAAATAAATACATTGTTTACATCTTTATTGGTTTGTTTTCATGACTTATTTTGGTCTCAGATTCTTTACTATGATGGTGTATTCTTAATCTACACTAATTAGATCATAAAACAAAACTTATCCTGTTTTATAGAACCCAGAGCCCCTCTGTGGTCTTGGGGTGTACCTGATGGGATTAGGTGGCCCATCTTGGTCCTTCCCACTCCTGGCCAGTAGAGAGCAGGGCCATACAGTTTATAAGTGTTCTCTGGACTGTGGGTGTTAAGTCATTTTAGTGGAAATAAAATAGAAAACTGCTTAGTGCTCTGTTTTGTTTACCAATGAAATATGGTTTACAGAGAACCCTCATGTACTATTGGTAAGAGTGAAGCCACTATGAAAAACACTGTGGAGGGTCCTCAACAAATTAAAAATGGAACTGTTTCCTCTTCTGGGTATACAAGTATATACAAAGAAACCATTTCAAAAGCATATATGCACCCCTATATGTCATAAAAAAAGAGTGAAATCTTACCATTGTAGCAACATGGATGGACCCAGAGGGTATTATGCTAAATGAAATCAGTCAGTTGGAGAAAGACAAATAGTATATGATTTAACTTACATGTGGAATCTAAAGAACAAAACGAATGAGCAAACAAAACTGAAACGGTGTTATAGATACAGAGATCAGACTGATGACTGCCAAAATGGATGGTGGTTGGGGGAGTGGGTGAAAAATGTGAAGGCATTAAGAAAGACAAACCAGTAGTTACAAACTACTCACAAGAATGTGAAGTACAGCATAAAGAATATAGTCAATAATTTTGTAATAACTGTATTTGGTGTCAGGTGGGTCCTGGAAATTTAATGGGGAGTACTTCATTAAATCTGTGATTATCTAACAACTATGCTGTATACTTGAACCTAATACAAAATAATGTTGAATGTAAACTGTAATTGAAAACTAAATGAAATCGTTTACAAAGCAGGAAACTGAGGTGATTCTAGGTAGTAGGGTAAGCTTTATTCATTTGTGTGTGTTTGCTGGGTCAGGGTGCAAAATGTTTGTGGATCATATTAGGAAAATGAAGGGAATTGAGCTCAACTGCAGTTTTGAGGAAGTTCTAGATAGGCCCCAGAGAGTAGAGGCTCCTTTCTGGTAACATGTTAACATCTGTCTTTGATCTTAGACTTCCCTTTTACTTAGGCATTTGGCAAAAGAGATGCATGTTTCTAAACAAAGAACCCTGGAATGTTCTGAAATGTTTTAGGCTTGGCAAATCACAAAGAAAACCTGTGTAAACCTGTACACCAACTACATCGTGCTGCCCAAGGCTTTGGAGTGCTGGCCTGTGTCCATGTTTGAGAAACTGCTGCCACGGCACCTGGAGATCATCTATGCCATCAACCAGAGGCACCTGGATGCAGGCATTGGCTGTGCTGGGGTTGGGGTTGGGTTGGTGGGCTGCACCCATGCCAAGGGGCCCTTCTTTTTTCTCCACATTACTTCTTGAATCAAATAGCCTCTGTCCAGCAGAGGACTTTGAGGTGTGAGGGCTGTTACTTTGCAGAGCTGTTGGCTAATCCCCTACCTAGACCTCTGGTGTATATGTGGGAGTTATGGATTTGGGTCCTTTTAAGATGTTCCTGTTCCCTTGTTGGTTTTTGATTTAAGTGTCTGTTCTTGGAATGTCAAAGACTTTATCCTGAGATGACTTAGCAGCAATTCAGTGATTTGGAAACAAACCCCCAGTTGTCATTGTTACCTGCAGAAAAGTGGTATAAGAACAGGGGGTCTTGAAATTTAGGTATGATTATAGTTCATTTTTTAACCTTTTGGTAAAAAGGCAGCTATTCCAGCTGTCAAAATGTGATTAAAACCTACTTAGGCCGACAGGGACAGCATTCCCATCTTTTCCTTGTAAGTCACATGGCATGGCCCTAGCACTGATGGTTCTCTAGTCTGATGCTGACACAGCAGCTCTGCTGAGCCCTCAGGCTGGACCTAGCTCATCCCTGGACTCAGGCAGCATGGGAGGAGGGGCTCTCAGAGGTGCATCCAGGGTATTTAAGTGCAAGTCTGGGGTGTAGCAGCCCCAAGGTTTTCTTGAAGGAGACCAGACTTGCCGCAGGGAGTCCTTAACCCACTGTGGGACTTTTGGCACTTCTGCTCATGGTTCTTTGTCAAGGCAACAGCAAGTGTCTGCCCTGTTCCCCAGGGATGTGGACTACCTGCAGAGGATGCCTCTGATTGAGGAAGGGGACTACAAGCAGATTAATATAGCCCAACATGTGCGTGATTGGATCCCATGCTATCAATGGCGTAGCTAGAATCCACTCAAAGACCATAAAACAGTCAGTGTGAGTGATCCAGTGTTTGCCCTGAGCTAGGGCATAACTCCTTTCTGACCCCACACCTGTCTCTAGGAACTGTCAGTTACCCATATGTATAGTGGCTGAGGCATATGGCCCATGCTCCACACCATTATTGTGCTGCCCTTGTGGGCATTGGCTGACCTACTCAAAGCACCCTGGCCAATAGGTGATGTTGAGGAGGCAAACCTTCTCATCACCAGTGGCTCCTTTTTTTGTGCATTGTGGATATGTCCAGGCAAGGGCTCTGCTCCTATAGCCATCTGTTGCTGGCTGAATACCATGAGGGCCCCACCTGGCAATGAGTGGCCTGGCTTAAATAGGGTGGAGGTTAGGGTATGATGGGCAGGGGCTGATCACTGTGAGGGTGGAGGAATTCTTTGGTCAGATCTTGTGCTTCCTGTCCCATCTTGGTGGGATGTGATCTTAGAGTTTCTTCCACTCTCACACTTCTGAGAGTGCTAGGTGGGCCTAAACCAGGTCTGTCCATGTGGAGACTTCTGTGTCCCTGGTGCCTGCCCAGAGGCTTTTAAGCCCCACAGTTGGTGGGGGGCAGGGTGAGGGGTGGTCCATATTGTACAGATACAGAAACTGAGCCCCAATTTCTCCACTATGGTTTTTACTTTAGAAACTGGCCAGGTCCCGCTACCTGTGAAGTTATAGCTAGCCTGTATTATCAACTGTGGGGTACACTGAAAAGTATGTACTGCATGTCTGCTGTTCTCCAAGTATGCAGTTCCTCTTCAAGTGTGCAGTAATGCTGGCTGCTCTACATTCTTTAGAAAACAAAACAGGAAAAACTGACTTTCAGAACCTTCCAGGGGATTTCCTTATAAGGTCCTCATGTTTTTCTTGCTCACCTTGTTAAGAACACAGCATTTGTCACCATTTCCTGTTTTCTTTGGTTTTAGCTTTAAGGATTTTTACAATCTGGAGCCAGAAAAGTTCCAGAATAAGACAAATGGCATCATGTCTGGACGGTGGTTGCTCCTGAGTAACCTGGGGCTGGATGAATGGAGGTGAGACTGGCCACCTCTGAGTTCACAGGGGAACTGTGGACACAGTTAGAGCCAAGGCTACCATCCTCCTGGTGTTGTCAGGCTCATCGTTAGTGGGTGCTGACCGGGCAGTAAACTGCTCCTTAGTGTGTGGACCAGCAGTGGCTCCTGGATGGGAATAGGTGGGTTCCATCTGCCACCCCCAGGCATGGGAGCACTGGGCCAGACAAGGCAGTAAGTCAATGTTCTCTGGGACCTGTGGGCTGGAATTCAGAATTGAGGTCCTGGGGTTTCAGGAAGGGCTAGGGTGGGGCCACCCAGCCAAGTGTTAAACCATAGGCTAGTAGCTAAAGAGGTCTGGGGAGCCAAAGATGTAGTATATTGACTTGTGTGCTTAATCAGGAGGGAAAGAAATGAAATGTCATACATACCAGGTGGTGTGCTAGACCTGAGGATGAGCAGACAGCTGTACAGGCAGTGTCTGGCTAGGGCTGTGCATGTGTCAGGGAGAGGATAGCAGAGCTGAGATCTGAAGAGTGAATGGGGGTAGCCAGAAAACAGAGGCTTGGGCAACAAAATGGGAAGATGGTCCCCAAATGAGGCAAAACCACATGTCCCTTTTTGATCTTCCAGAAAATTGGGGAGGGTTTTCTGACCAACCTGAGCCAATTGAAGAAGCTGCTGCCCTTGGTTAATGATGAGTCTGTCATCAGGGACATGGCCAAGGTCAAGCAGGTAGGCCTGTATACAGCTTGTCCTTGCTGCCTCACCTCATGTGGGGCAGTGTCCCTGCCTGTTCTGTGTTGGGGCCCAGGAGCTTCAAAGTCCATCCTGTTTACTGAGCTTTTCAGTTGAGGACTGGACTGACCTCAGGTCATGCAGCAGGCAGGTGGGCAGGTAGGTGAATGCAGACCTTCAGAACATCCTTGAGCACACTGCCCTGACTTTTCCTCACTTTGCTGCCACCCCTTAGCTCCTCAGCTGTGGTATTCTGGTATTCATTCCCCTCCCCTGGGGCAGCAGCAGATCTCCTGGTGGAATTTCCCTCTGTGCCATATTTCTGACAGAAGGATGGAAATATTCTCAATGGAGGTGGAAACCCAAGCATTAGCTTGATGTTGGGGAGCATGTGGGTTTTCTTCTGTGAACTGTCTACCCATCCATCATCCATTCCTTTATTCTCCCCAGGAAAATAAGTTGAAGTTCTCTGCCTTGTTGGAGAAGGAGTACAAGGTGAGAATCAACCCCTGCTCCATGTCTGACATGCATATGAAGGGGATCCATGAGTATAAGCAGCAGCTGCTGAACTGCCTGCACATCACCACCCTCTGCAACCATGAATATAACCTCATACTCCCGCTCACTAGCTCATCCTAGGGCCTGGGCCTTTCATGCAGGTAAGCAGTGAGGGGGCTGTGTGTGGCATTGCACATTTACTTTAAGCAAGAGCTTTATGTTTTTCTGTGTGCTCAGTGTCAGAGTAGTTACAAAGGAGCAAAGGGTGAGCTCTGTCTCCAGTCTAGTCTGATTGTGGTATAGGCTTAAGATACCTGAGGCAGGCAAACAGCTAAATGCCTCAGAAGGGCCATGGATTGCCTCAGGCTGTCAGTGTGACACAAAGGCTAGGTGTTATGTTCAGTTCAGTTTTTATTTTAAATTTAGTTATTTATTAGACGAGTTATTTGGAAAGCTTTGACATATTAGAGGCATTTAAATAGTATATATTACACTTATACATTTACCTTCGATTGTTTGAGCAACATCTAAATATGAAGAAATATAAATCAAAGACCCCTAAAAGTAAATAGAAATATTTGCTAGGTTTACAAATATTATAACACCTTAAGGAATAACTAAGTTTTCAAAGTTTTTTTAATGTAATAAAGTATTAATTTTATAAACCAAAGAAACTACAAATAATCTTTAATATAAAAACTCCTTTCAAGAGCATTAGATCTATTACCAATTGGTAAGACTAAGGTGTAGGAATCCAGTTCCTTGTGAGACAGTTGAGTAACAGGATAGATGATGTTTAGGCTTGAGTGCCTTTGATGCTTCTGACTCCAAACCTTCAGAAGAGGCTGCAGATTGAGGACCCATTCTGTGTGCGGCTGAATAGGTGCTTTACCACACAGATTCCCTGGTCAGAAATAGTCATTCGTGTAGATCCTGTTCTTTTTTATTTGCCATGTTTTTCTTTTGAAGTCATGGTATTCTGCATTTTATTTGTCATTTCCTTCCTGAATCCCTTCCTTGAGTCACTCAGCACCCCTTTCTTCTTCTACTGTGACCCTGCCTGCAATCAGTAGACTCTATCACTTCTTCTGCTGTGTGCCTTTGTACTTCTATCATGAATTCCTCCTGCTGGACTTTGTCAGCTGTTAATGACACCCTGTAATCCCCAACTGTTCCAATGAGTCAGTCAGGGGCTTGTGCTCATTTCCTTCTCATTCACTTGCCTGTGCACATATATGCGTGCATATGTGTTCAAGTGCTTTCTCTGTGGTTAGGGCACACAACATTGACACTCTGTTGTCCTCATCCCTGACTTTTTTTTTTGTCTTAGTCTGTGGATGAACACATTTAATGCTTCCATTTTTTTTAATTTAATATATTTTATTGATTATACTATTACAGTTGTCTCATTCTCTTCATCACTCCTCTCCACCCTGCACATCCCCTTGCACCCACATTCCACTACTTTAGTTCATGTCCATGTGTCATACTTGTAAGTTCTTTAGCTTCTACATTTTCCATACTACTCTTACCCTCCCCTGTCTATTTTCTACCTACCATCTATGTTACTTATTCTCTGTACCTTTTCCCCCTCTCTCCTCCTCCCACTCCCCTGTTGATAACCCTCCAGGTGATCTCCATTTCTGTGATTCTGTTTCTGTTCTAGTTGTTTGCTTAGTTTGTTTTTATTTTAGGTGTGGTTGTTAATAATTGTGAGTTTGCTGTCATTTTTCTGTACACGTTTTTTATCTTCTTTTTCTTAGATAAGTCCCTTTAACATTTCATATAATAAGGGCTAGGTGATGATGAACTCCTTTAACTTGACCTTATCTGGGAAGCATTTTATCTGCCCTTCCATTCTAAATGAAAGCTTTGCTGGATAGATCAATCTTGGAGGTAGGTCCTTGTATTTCATGAGTTGGAATACTTCTTTCCAGCCCCTTTTTCCCTGTAAGGTCTCTTTTGAGAAATCAGCTGACAGTCTGATGGAAACTCCTTTGTAGGTAACTGTCTCCTTATCTCTTACTGCTTCTAGGATTCTCTCCTTCATTTTCATCTTAGCTAATGTAATGATGATGTGCCTTGGTATGTTCCTTCTTGGGTCCACCTTCTTTGGGACTCTCTGAGCTTCCTGGACTTCCTGGAAGTGTATTTCCTTTGCCAGATCGAGGAAGTTCTCCTTTATTATTTTTTTTCAAATAACTTTTCTGCTTGTTGCTTTTCCTCTTCTCCTTCTAGCACCCCATAATTTGGATGTTGGAACATTTAAAGATGTCCTGGAGGTTCCTAAGCCTCTTCTAATTTTTTAAAATTTTTGTATCTTCATTCTTTTCTGATTGGATGTTTCTTTCTTCCTTCTGGTCCACTCCATTGATTTGAGTCCCAGTTTCCTTCCCATGTACATTTGGTTCCCTGTACATTTTCATTTATTTCATTTAGCATAGCCTTCATTTTTTTCATCTAATTTGTGACCAAATTCAACCAATTCTGTGAGCACCCTGATTACCAGTGTTTTGAACTTTATATCTGATAGGCTGGCTATCTCTTCATCACTTAATTGTATTTTTTCAGGAGCTTTGATCTGTTGTTTCATTTGGGCCACTTTTTTTTTTGTCTTGATGTGCCCATTACATAATGAGGGGCAGAGCCTTAGGTGTTCACCTGGGTGGGGCAGCCCAGTCCCTGGGTTGTGATGCTGTATGTGGGGCAAGGGTTTGAGGGGAAATAATAGCACCTGCTCCACTCTCTGCCAAATTTCAGTCCCCTCTGCTGCTTCCCACAAGCAAATTGGGCCCTTGCGCTGATTCCAGGATGGTTGGTTTTGTGCACATTCTAGGACCCTGTGGGTCTCTCTATGAACTCTTCTGTGAAGCTGGGAGTCTATCCTGGCATCTCAACTCTTACAGGTATTTTCAGTTGGTGTTTTGAGGCTTTATTTTCCCACACTGGGACCCTGGGTTGTATGGTCTGTCTTGCTGCCCAGTTTTGCCTGTTTTATCTGCACGCAAATCTGGGACCACTCAGTCTTCCAGCCACCTTGTGTGCCACACCCCTCTACAACCTTCTGCCTTGTTGTGTCCACCAGCTGCTGCCTTGTGCCCCTATGGTCAGCCAGCCACCGCTTTGCTGGGAGTCCTTTCTGCCTGGCCACCTGACTCTACCCCTCCTGCCGGTCTGGATGAATGTGTCTACTTTAATTCCTTGGTTGTCAGACTTTTATACAGTTCAATTTTCTGTCAGTACTGGTTGTTTTTCATTTCTAAATTGTTGCTGTCCTTATTTTGGTTGTGCCAGTAGGCACAGTGTGTCTACCTATGCCTCCATCTTAGCCTGAAGTCTCTAATGCTCCCATCTCTTTTGCAAAGCTATCCTGCCTAGATTTCCCTATAGGAGAGATGTTGATGAGGTCAGCCTTCTTGGCCTTGTAAGGCTTCTTCCCTGTCTCCCTTACTCATGGCTCCTCTGAGGAGGCCAGGTCTCAAGACCCTTGTTCTCAGCCCTGTTCCCCACCCATCCCTGTGACCTGAGAGAACTTGCTCAGTGGTCTGGAGTTTGAGTGTTTTTCCTTACTAGTTTTGGCAAAATTGTTTTTATTTTTTCTATACTTTGTTATTCTGTCTGATTTGTTGAAGAGGGAAGATTCAGAAGGGGCAGTCATGTTCCTTTTAGAACATGAAGTCAGTTAAAAATTAGCCACATCTCTGTACTACTTGTGGCTGGTTTTCAGTTCTCTGGTGAATGCTGTCTGGGTTTTTTCCTGACTGCCACACACACTGAAATTGAAAACAGGTGATCTGGTGAGGACACTCAGTTTGCTGGGGCTAAAGGTAAGCTGATCAATAGTACCTGATCATCTGTCTGCCCTCATGCAGGAGAGATTCAGGAGGAGCGTTGGGAAACTTGGGGTCTTGCCTGATACCTCTCCAGGGCTGATGATACCATTACCACAATCCTGAGGTCATCTGTTTTTCAAGGCCAGTCATGTACAAGGCCTTGAGTACTGGTGATCAGACCCAAATCAGGCTGCTTTTCTGGAAACAGAAGTGCAGCTTTTCCTATGGGTCTTTGGAAGAGTTGGCTCTTGGATGGCCTTCTTCACATCCTGGGATACAAGTGCAGTATCTAGGAGACTCATTCCTCTTCTGTAAGTGGGATTTCCTGGTGGGTGTGTAAGGGCCAGTGTGGCTACCACCTGTGTTAGGTTGACCGCTAAGGACACTGGTCACTACGGCTTACCTGAATCTCTTGGTTGTCTGCCAGGAATAAAGGACCCTGTCAGGGATTTTATGTCCAGGACCATCATAATTGGGGGTAAGGTGAGGTGATATCCTCTTTGCTTAATATTTGGCCAGACTGTAGAAACCAACACACTTTTCAGTAGTGTCATTGGGTCCTGACTTTGGTGCCAGCTGCCCACTGGGCTGGATGTTGTGGAGCTCAGAGCCAGAGCTCACACAATGCAAGAGGATCTGTGGCCCCCAGGTAGGCCAAGTCAGTTCAGTCTTCATCAGCTTAGCAATAGGAGGGACCTGGCTGGGATCCCTACCTGCCCAGCACATGGGATTGGGGGATCCACACCCTCCAGGGTAGCCTGCAATGGGATTTCTGGGCCCTCATTTTCATGGGGCAGTACCCTTTGTCTGCATAACCACCATCCTTCCATTCTATGCCTGGCTCTTGAGCCCTAGATCACACCTTCCTGCCTCCATATACATACTTGTACTGAAGATGCAGGTCACTGGCTGCTTCACTGACCAGATGTGAGCCTGCTATGAGTGCCACCTGACTTTATTTCATTTACTATGGCACATAATTTGGACACACACTTTGGACACATTATTGTGGAGTCTGGCACATACCATTAGGCACTGGTGGTCTCATCATTGAGCTGTGTGATCTAGAACCCATCCTCTGCCACTTTTCACCAACAGCTTTGTGTCATCAGGGAATGTGAGGAGCTCTGGAGCACAGCTTCTTCATGGGGTACCATGGAGTAGGACCAGGCTCTATTATTTCCACCAACTCAAGCACATATGAAGGTATATGAAAGGCTCAAGCCCTTCTGTGAGCCCACTAACTTTAGACAGGAGCACACACCCAAATTGTTTGGTCTCTGCCTACCCCTCCCCACAACTCCTGCTGTTTCTGAAACACAGTCTAG